CAGGATGGAAACCCAGAAAAAGACCTAAACAAAACAAATAATCAGCCTGACAAAGAGTTCAAACAAAAAGTCATAAGGAGGCTCACTTATCTTGGAGGAAGGATGGAGGAACTCGGTGAGAATTTCAACAAAGAATTGGAAAATATAAGAAAGAGCCAATCAGAAATGAAGAATACAGTGCTGGAAATGAAAAATTTGCTAGAGGGACTCAATAGCAGAGTAGATTATACGAAAGAACAGATCAGCAAGTTGGACAAAAACTGGAGGAAATCATCTAAGCCGAACAGATAAAATTAAAAAGAACGAGGACAGTCTAATGAAGCACACTAACATCCATATTATAGATGTCACAGAAGGAGAAGAGAGAGATAAAGGGGCAGAGAATCTATTTGAAGAAGAAATAGCTGAAAACTTTCCTAACCTAAGGAAGGAAACAGACATCCAGGTACAGGAAGCACAGACAGCGCCAAACAAGATAAGGTCAAAGAAGCCCATGCCAAGACCTATTGTAGTTAAAATGTCAAGAATTAAAGAGAGAATCCTAAAAGCTGCAAGAGGAAGACAAGTTACATACGAAGGACACCCCATAAGGCTATCAGCTGACTTCTCAGCAGAAACTGTACAGGCTAGAAGGGAGTGGCATGACATATTTAAAGTGCTGAAAGGAAAAAAACCTACAGCAAAAAATACCCTACCCAGCAAGGTTGTCATTCAGAATGGAAGGAAAGATAAAGAGTTTCCCATACAAGCAAGAATTACAGGAGTTTATCACCAAGAAACCAGCCTTACAAGAAATGCTATGGGGACTTATTTAAGTGGAAAAGAGAAGACTACAAATAGGAATAATAAAATTATTCCCCCAAAAGCAATAAAATCACTGATAAAGGCAAAAATACAGTAAAGGTAGCACATCAGCCACCTATAAGCTAATATGAAGGTCAAAAAACAAAAGTATAAAATTATCTATTTCCATCATAAGAGGGTAATGGAATGCACACTCACAAAAAAAAGAGGTTAGACGTGACACCAAAAACATAAAATGTGGGAGGAGGGGAGTAAAAGAGCTTTTAGCAAGAGAGCAAACTAAAGAGACCATCATCTTAATATAGAGCTATATACGTAGGTTACTATATATGGATCTCATGGTAATCACAAACAGAAACCTATAATAAATAGACAAATAATTAAGAGAAAGGAACCCAAACATAATACTAAAGAAAGCTGCCGGGGTCCCGCCCCGGCTGAGTCCAGGTTCCTGAGGGATGGACGGCGTCGGCGCAATGAGGGGAAAATAAAGGGGACGTGAGACTTGGGTTGGTGTTAGCAAGTCCAACTTTACTGTGCACAAGTGTCGTTTATATATTTTTCAGGATTAGTACAGAAATGGTTCTACAAATACTTCCTAAAGCAATCTACAGATTCAGTGCAATACCTATCAAAGTTCCAACAACATTTTTCACAGAAATAGAACAGAGAACCCTAAAATTTATATGGAACAACAAAAGATCCTGAATAGCCAAAACAATCCTGACAAAAAAGAACAAAACTAGAGGTATCACACTCCCTAATTTTAAAATATACTACAAAGCTATAGTAACCAAAACAGCATTGTACTGGCACAAAAAAGACAGAGCAGTGGGACAGAATCGAGAGCCTAGAAATAAACCCACATATCTATGGATGGCTAATTTTCCACAAGAGAGCCAAGAACGTACAATGGAGAAAGGAAAGTCTCTTCAACAAATGATGTTGAGAAAACTGGACAGCCACATGCAAAAGAATGAAAGTAGACCATTATCTTACACCATACACAAAAATTAACTCAAAATGGATTAAAGATCTGAAACCATGAAACTTCTAGAAGAAAACTTAGGCAGTATGGTCTTTGACATTGGTCTTAGCAGCATGTTTTCAAATACCCTGTCTGACCGGGCAAGGGACACAATGGAAAAAATAAACAAATGGGACTACATCAGACTTAAAAGCCTCTGCATGGCAAAGGAAACCATCAACAAAACGAAAAGACAACCTAACAATTGGGAGAAGATATTTGCAAACCGTATGTCTTATAAGGGGTTAATATCCAAAATATAGAAAGAATTCATACATCTCAAGAACAAAAAAACTAACAATCTAATTAAAAATGGGCAGGGGCTGGCCTGGTGGTGCAGTGGTTAAGTTCGCACACTCCACTGCGGTGGCCGAGGGTTCACCAGTTCAGATCCCAGGTGCAGACGTGGCACTGCTTGGCAAGCCGTGCTGTGGTAGGCCTCCCACATATAAAGAGGAGGAAGATGGGCACGGATGTGAGCTCAGGGCCAGTCTTCCTCAGCAAAAAGAGGAGGATTGGCGCCAGATGTTAGCTCAGAGCTAATCTTCCTCAAGAAAAAAAATGAGCAAAAGATCTGAGCAGACATTTCTTCAAAGAAGATATACAGATGGCAAACAGACCTATGAGAAGATATTCAACACCACTAACTATCAGGGAAATGCAAGTCAAAACTGCAATGAGATATCACCTCATGCCCATCAGAATTAACAAGACAGGAAACAACAAGTGTGGGAGAGGATGTGGAGAGACAGGAACTCTCATACACTGCTGGTGGGAGTGCAAATTGGTACAGCCATTGTGGAAAACAGTATAGAGATTCCTCAAAGCATTAAGAATAGAACTACCATATGATGCAGCTGTTCTGCCAGGTATTTATCCAAAGAACTTGAAAACATTAATGCATAAAGATACATACAGCCCTACGTTCATTGCCACATTATTTGCAATAGCCAAGACTTGGAAGCAGCCTAGATGCCCATCAAGGGACGAATGGATAAAGAAGATATGGTGTATATATACACAATGGAATACTGCTCAGCCATAAGAAATGATGAAAAATGGCAGTTTGTGACAACATGGATCGACCTTGAGGGTATTATGCCAAGTGAAACAAGTCAGAGGGAGAAAGTCAAATACTGTATGATCTCACTCATAAATAGAGGCTAAAAACAACAACAAACAATCATATAGGGGCCGGCCCCATGGCCCAGTGGTTAAGTTTGTGCCCTCTGCTTCGGCGGCTCAGGGTTTCACTGGTTCGGATCCTGGGTGCAGACCTAGCGCTACTCATCAAGCCATGCTGAGACAGCAGCCCACATAGCAGAACTGGAAGGACCTACAACTAGAATGTACAACTATGTACTACTGGGGAGCTTTGGGAAAAGAAGAACAAAATCACATAAAGACAGATTGGGGTGTTGGTTACCAGAGGGGAAGCGGCGAGGGAGGAGGGCAAAAGGGGTGATTAGACACGTGTATGTGGTGATGGATTATAACTAGTCTTTGGATGGTGAACATGATGTAATCTACACAGAAATTGAAATACAATGACATACACCTGAAATTCATATAATGTTATAAACCAATGTTACTGCAATAAAATGTTTTAAAAACCACGCAATGGGGGTACATCAGAGGGACATAGGAACCAGCTGAAAGAGCTCCCAATGGCCAAAGATGGAACAATTTGATATGTATATGTTGCATTGTAGCCCACAGTATATGAGTACATACTAATGTAAAAAGGTTATTGAATAAGTTAATAAATGGGGAAGAAGAGACAGATCTCCTGTGCAGAAGAATTCCAAATAAATTAGTGAATACTTCACTCTGTAGGAGACGGAGCATAACTCCCCACTCCTTAAGTGTGGGCTGTGCATAGTGACTTATTTTCAAAGAGTACAGTATGGATGGTGGGGAAAATGTAACTTTACAGTGGAGAGTCCTGACAAACACTACTTTAAGCCAAGTGATCAAAGTCAACATCAACAGTCAGGCATAAATCATGTTGATAGTATGTACCTCTAATATGATGTGATGAAAATAGCATTCTACTTCTGTGATCTTCTTCCCCCCAAACCCATAACCCCATGAGAAAAACCCATAATCATGAGAAAAACAGTTAATTTCCAGTAGAGGGAAATCCTACAGTATACCTGACCAGTACTCTTCAAAACTGTCAAGATCATCAAAAAAGGCATCTGAGAAACTATCACAGACAAGAGGGGCCAAAGGAGACATAAGTAATGTACTATGGTATCCCAGTTAGGGTCCTAGAACAGAAAAATGACATTAGGTAAATAATAAGGTAATCTGAATAAACTATGGGCTTTAGTTAATAATAATGTATCAGTATTGGTTCATTAATTGTAACAAATGTACCATTCTAATGTAAGATGTTAATAGAGAAAACTGAGGGGTTAGGGGGTAATATGGGAGCTCTATTATCTGCTGACTTCTTCTGTAAAGCTGAAACTCTTCTAAAAAATAAAGTCTACTAGTTACAAAAGAGAAAATTCCAAACTCTTAAACACACATACATATTGGGTCCTTACGTAACCCAACCACTCCAGTGTTTGCTTTTGAAACATTTTCTCTTTAATTCTCACAACAACCTGGTGAAATGGGAACTATTCTATCTTTGGGGAAGTGGAGGCTCAAAGAGATGAAGTGATTTCCCCGAGGTCACGTACCTGGCAAAGCTTGGTTTCTAGAGGCTGGAGTGAAACCTGGGAATCTGGGTCCAGAGCTGGGACCTCAGACGCTTTCACACAGCATATGAAGCCCTTAGTGTGGTGCCCACGTGTAGGGAGGACCACTGAGGCCCAACTCTGCTGCTGTTATTGTTGGAATTTGTATCGTTATGTCCCCATACTCTGACTCACCAGAGTACTTCCTGTCTGCACCTTATAGTCCGGTAGGCTTGTCCTAACCTTATGTCATTCGCCAATGGCTTCCCCCATTGATGGGTTTTCTCTGTGGCACAACTGCATTATGTCCAAAGGCAGCATCTGCGTCCACAGTGAGCACAGCACAGAGCCTGGCTCACTAGATGTGCTTGGTGATTCAGGCCTTGGGTCTCTGCACCTTCAGCAGTGACCGGGCAACAGGCTCTAAGCTCATCCAGCAGCCCCAACGCCAACGTTGATGCCTCTGTTTGACTTTCCAGGTGTCGTTGACCTTTAAGTACTTGGCCATGACCTTCACTTGGGAGGAGTGGGGGCAACTGGACACGGCCCAGAGGACCCTGTATCGGGAGGTAATGCTGGAGACCTGCGGGCTCCTGGTCTCACTAGGTAAGGCTCACCTTCCTCCCATGTGGGGAACCCACAGCCTCCTTCTCCATTTCATCTCTCACCTTAGGCCTGACTAGTAGACAAGGCCTCTGGAGCCCACCCTTCCTCTTACCGCTAACTCCTGCTGTGTTCCTGTCTCCCCCGCTCTTTCCTGGTCTTCCTGTGCCCCGCCAGGCTCTGTGAGGTGCCAAAAAGCAGAAAGTGAAATCAAGAACTACACCAAGAATTAAACCAAGCCCACGTTCTCACTGCAGTACCCAGCACAGTCCTTACTCCAGATTCTCACGAGAGGGAAACTGAGTGGTCAAGCCTTGCTGGGTTATGTGTCCCGATGACCCAGTGAGCAGGGGCCAGAGATGAGGGGCCATTCTCCAAAAATTCCATGAATCAAGTAGGCCACTGGCAACATTGAAACTACCCAGCCTCAGTTGAAAGGTGTCTTTTTTTCCTGATGCCTACACGATCTTCTCTTGCTTCGTAAGGCCTGGGCCACAGTCCTCTGCTGGTACAGGAGATGATGTTACAGGGCGTGCAGGCGTATCATCAGCTGTCGTTGATGGACACCCTGAGAAAGCTGATCCTTTTTCCCTTCTCTTCTGCCTTCTGGTTGTTGTCAGGAGAGTCTTGCTTTGGTGATAAATCTTTGATGCCTCCCCTAGCTTTGGCTAATACTCTGTTTCAGCAGAAGGAGTAGCCCTGGACTCATAGTGCAGGGCAGGCCGTGTAAGCTTGCCGGAACTTAGATTGTTATTTTGATTTCATTGTTATTGTATTTTGATGATAACTGAGTTGTGAAAAGTGAAACTAGTTTTACCATTTACAAGTGTTACGAGATTCCCTTTCTGAAGAAATTAATCAAGTAAACAAAATATGGGTCAACTTTAGAAAAGCAGTTTATAATGAGGGTCACAGCTAACATCCCCTGAGCATTCACGCCATGTCAGGCCCTGCTCCTGACATGATTCTTGCTGCTCCACTAATTTAATTCTTACAGCATCCCTGTGAGGTGCAGAGTTTGCTCCAAAACTGCTCACTCTGCACCCAATGCTCCCCTCTAGAAAGCTGCTGCCCAAAGACAACAATGACATTTTTGAGCGTGAGTTATTATTTTAATATGCTTGCTTATTCAGTAAAATGTTCAGTCCTCAGTGTCCAGCTCAGTGTACACTTTCAGTGTGCCCACTCATGTGCCTTCCTCCTAGACCATGCTGTGGAGCAGCAGGTTCTCCCCATATCTCCCAGTCGCTTCCCCAAAAGGCACCACTCTGCTGACTTCCGTCCTCAGAGACTGGACTGGCCCGTTCTTGAACGTTATGTAATGGAATCACACAGTGTGCTCTGCATTGTGTCTGGAGTCTTTCGCTCAACATCCTGTTTGTGAGATTCATAGCCCAAGGATTGATTTCTGTCCTGAGACTGTTGATGCAGATGTCCCCTGATTCATACAGATTCCCTTTGCCTCCATTTGCACCCTCACATATCATAGCTTCGGAACAGCAGAACACCCACCATTTCCCAAATAAAACAGGAAAAGGTCAGACAGTCAGGCATCTGTTGATGTAGAGTAGTGCCTGGGTTTTCAGTCCTCCCTGGACAGCTGAATACCTTGGAGAGCTTTTAAAGTGTTCACGGCCAGGCCTCCTCCCTGGAGATTTGGTTCCATTTGCTTCATGCATCCCCAGGTGGTTCTGATGCCCAGGGAGGTTGAGATGCTGACTTAGGTTAATTAGACAATAGCTTCTGGAATGAGGGTGTCACTTTCTGGGGATAAAGGGAAGGGTGCCCCCTGAACAGTGTTGGATTCTGTAGGATGGAGACCACGGGGGATGGATGTTAAGTAGACAGCCATCACTACCCTCTACAGACTTTTGGTCCAAGGATGGTGTTTGTGCTCTTGGTTTCCAGGTCCCAGGTCAGCATTTGCTTTGTGTGGATGGGAGCAGCCTCATTCCAACATCTCATCCTTGTCTTGAATACCATACTGAATAGAAAGGCTCATTTTTGCCTTTACTCAAACACTACTGTCCTGTTTCTCCATGATCAGGGTATCCTGTTCCCAAACCAGAACCGATCCACCTGCTGGAGAATTAGCAACATCTTTGCATGGTGAAGAGAGGCCTCTGCTAAAGTTCCTGTCCAGGTGGGTGGCCAAGAACCAGCAGGTAGGGCGTCACTGCAGATCAGTAGGGGCCACTGGGAAGCCTCTTGTTGTGACCTTCCTGGGGCCCTGTGTGGCCGTGGAGCCCTTTGACCTATCCTCTCACCCAGTTACACTCTTCCCTGCTACTCGAGGAGGAGTAGGTTGTATTGGGTAAATGGTAGGCTGTAGGCTCCATATCTTTGGGCTTAATACCTGGCTTCGTCCCTCTCCAGCCTTGTGACTGAGGGTGTTGCAAGATCTCATCAGTGTTAAAAATAGGCTAAGATAACACTAGCTACTATAACAGAGAAACGGTAACCTCTGCAGCTCAGCACAGGGAGTTTTTTGTTTTTTTCTTTTCCCCATTCATGCCAAGATCCATGCAGGTCAGCAGAGAGCTCTGTACCACACAGTTATTCAGGGAACAAGGTACCTTCTGTTGTCAGCATGTGACCTAATGTTAGGCTTTCCTGGCATCTTCTGTTGAGGAGAGGGGAAATGAGAGGAATGAAAGAAGTCAGACCCACTTGCACGTACATTGCCATCGCCATTCCATTGATGGAAACTGGGCCTTTGGCCACACCTGGATTCTCCGGGCTAGGAAATGGTTTAGCTGTGTGCCCAAGGAGAAGAGCAAGGGTTTGGTAAACATCTACTCAGTCTGCTACGCTCATCCTACATTTAGAAAATGATAGTAATAATAGTTTTTATCTCGTTGGATTGTTTGAAGATGTAATTAGAAAATATATAGAACTGCATATCATAGTGCCTAACACATAGTGACTCAAAAAAGTTAGCTATTTGTATTGGTATTATGTATGAAATGACATTAATCGTAATGACCAATGAGTAATAGTAATATCATATGTTTCCTCAAGGCTCAGATGAAAAGAACCTCTCTTCCTCTCCCATTAATACCTCCATCTATACTCTGCATCCTACCATTTCCCACCTTCTTTATCCGTTTACTGTCCGTATATACATACATTGTTCTCTTTGTCAGTCAGACACTCAGAAGCAGTCCTTTCCCCATGTCTTCCTGCCCCTCCTGTCCTGTAAAACTTTTAGGTGTCTTTAGCCTTGTCTGTTCCACATCTGGACTGCTCTGAGCACCTGAAGCCATCACTGTGTTGATTGGTGCCACCAGAGGGTGACGGTCTCTTTTTCTCTGGTATTCCCTCTGGCTGCACAGCCAGCTACATGTCCAGCCCCTCCTCAGTTCCTTGGAGTTTGTTCCAAAGTTTCCCCCGTCTCCTCAATCCCATGTCTCCATGTGAATGTCTTAAAGGTACTTCAGATTTGTCAAGGCTAAGAAGGAACTCTTGATCTTGCCCACTCCTCCCACATCCCCAGTTGTAATGAATGGTGCTTCCTTCCATCCAGGAAATTGAGAAGGTAGGAAACAGTCAGCTCAAACAACAGCTCGACACCTCTATCACCATCAAACCCAACATCTAGCCGTCCTGTCCATTCTACATCATACACATCTCCTAAATCCATCACCTCCATCAGCTCCACCACTAACCCCGTCCTTGCTATCACCAGCTCTCACCTGCACAATGCTAACAGACTTCCAGCTGATCTCTGCACATCTGCTCTGTCTCCTGCATCAGCTCTCCCAGCCACTCAGACCTTATTCCAAATCTTCACCACACTCACAGTTGCTGATGTCTCAGTATATGACCAAATTCATGTTTCTTCCTTCTTCACCATCTGTGGATTCACCCTGGAGTGAAGTCCTGTGAATGAGACTGGTATGAGAAAACCTTTCTCGAGAGGGTGGGCCTCACTCAACACGACAGCATCCCCCATGGGGAGAAGCCATATGCATGCACTGAGTGTGAAGAGGCCTTCAACTGCAGGGCACACCTCACAGAGAACCAGCATTTTCACACTGGACAGGCAGCCTGTGAGTGCAGTGAAAGTGGAAATACCTTCACAGGCCACTCTGATTTCATCTAGTGGGGAAGAACTCTTGGAGTGCAAATAATGTAGGAAAGCCTTTTGTGACAGCTCTTCCTTAACTTGACACATGTGGATTCATGCTGGAAAGAAGTCCTACAGATGCCATGAATATGGAAACACTTTCACCCACTGCTCTGATTCTGTCTTGCATCATAAGACCCACACTAGAGGAAAGCCCTTTGAGTGTAAAGAATGTGGGAGAGCCTTTCGTGACAAGCTATCCTTAGTTTGACACACAAGGTATCACAGTGAGGAGAAGCCCTATGAGTGCAGTGAATGTGGAAAAGTCGTAAGCCTTAGCTCATCCCTCACTAGCCATTGAGGGATTCATAGTGGAGAGAAACCCTGTGAGTGTGGGAAATTGAGGTAGGTCTGTCACACGTGGGCAGCCTTGGTGTACTTCAGAGAACTCCTACAGGGAACTCATACTTCTGAATATAACCACTGTGGCAAATTGCTTGGCCAGTAGAATGATCTGACTCAACATCTAAGATCCATACTCATACTGAAGAGAAATCCCATCCTCCCTCAGGTACACCATCTCTGCTGTAGCCGTGGCTTTACCTGTAGCTGAACCCCTGCATCACAGAGGTCAGAGGCCCTCTCTCCCAGATCACACCTTGCTTCTCAGAGAGGGCCCTCCATTCTGTACCAGGGAGTTCTGTGCTATAACATGGCCCACACAGAAACCTGAGCCTCAGTTTATTCCAAAGCATGAATGAGGTGCAGTCCAGTGGATGAAGGACATCTTGGGGTTGTTTAGTTCCCTCATCCAGTCTTCACTTCTGTGTGCAAAGGGGTCTAGTATGCTCTTGCTGATATGATGAGCAAGAGTTATAAGTCATCCTTCATCCACGTTACCACACTGTGTCCTTGACACATCATGGGTAGTGAAGACACATGGATGACTAAGGCATGGGCTTTTGAGCAAGAGGACAACTCACCGTATAGTGTGTGAAACACCTTGAAAACAGGTACAGTAAAACAACACTGCTGCTATGATAGTAACCTGACCAGTGCGTATGTGCAAGGGTATAAAGAACAGCAGGGCCAGACCTTGAGTCTTGGAGGAAAGATGTAAAGGGGGAGGAGTAGTCTAGTTGCTGGTTGCTGACAGCTTGGACACTGAGTGTAGATTGGGATTCCAGCACTTCTGAGCTATTCCCATCACCAGACTTGGACGTATCTCTTCTCCCCAGGCCTCGGCATTCTTGTCTGTCAAAGTGGGAAGATAGTCATTAAATTGTAAAGCACAGTAAGGAGAGCAGACACTAAAGAACAGGTTTCATGCAGACCCCTGAGGGATACAGGCCCTGAAGTCAGGTTCAATGGTAGGGAATAGTATGCCTGCAAAAGTGATTAGCATATGCCAAGATCTTGAGACTGGCAAGAGCTTGGCCAGTATGGCTAGAGGAGGAGAGTGGCAGGCAGTGAAAAAGGGGGGAGTACAGAGGTTGATGCACAGGTTTCTCTAGGCCACTGTGAGAAATTTAGATTCTACCCTAATTGCTCTGGGAGGCTGTGGGAGGGTTTTAGTAGGACAACGCCATGATCTGATGTATTTTTAAATCTCCCTCTAACTGGCCTGTGGGGAAATGTATTCAGTGGAGCCAAGAACTGAAGTGGGGGACATGGTGGAGGCCACTGTACAGTCTAGGAGCGTGTTGATGGTGGACTGGCCCAGGACTGCACTTGGAAGGGTATGACTGGGGACATGTTAGGAAGCAGAGCTAATAGGATGTATGGATGATTGGGGTAATGGAGTGAACCCCGGGGAATGACTTTTCCCATCTCAGTCTTTAAAAGACAGCGCACTACCTCTCTGGGACTGTGGGGCATAACCTGTTCTCATGTTTAGGTTTCTTGATCAGCCCCAGCAACATGTTGAGTGACCAAGTGAAGCCAAAGGCTGCCATTTCCAGGACACAGAAAAGGCAGGATTCTTCCCTGTTCACATGAGGGTTACTCGGGCAGTTCATTTTCCCTTGGCCTTGTTACTCACACACAGGGGACCTGGCCCTGCAGAGATTAGATGATAACTGGGAAAGGAAGCCATGTGGGTGGGGGCCAGAACTGTGGCTCTTTGGAGCACCATTCCCAGCTACTTACCACACATTATTGAGGGCAACTCAGAGATCTCTGGGCCTCGGTTTCCTCCTCTTAAACTGAGCAGACCCACCCCTCAGGCTGCTGTGCAGGTTAAAGGATACAGTGTCTGTACGCGGTGCTCGATGCATGGATGTGCTTGCTAAATGGAAGCTCCTTTTTTAGTTATTATCACAAACAGTTTTCCTCCTTTGTGTTGTCCTCCACCGCCACCACCCCCCATCCCCGCCCCTAGCCCCCTTTCCGGAGGATGCTGCTGACCTAGGGATTTTCCGAGTAAAAACATATGTACTACAGTTTCCCCATGATGTCTCAGCTGATTTTAGGCCTTAATGCCCTGGTCATGACCCTGATGACCTTCAACATAAGATCTTGACACCCCACCAGCCAAACCTAGGACATCCCTGCCCACCCCCGGCTCCTTTTCCACTGGCAGTGGCTGAGGATGCCATGGAATAAGTTGTGCTTTGAATGAAAATTTAAATTCGCTGATGAAAAATCCCTCATGAAGGGTCTTTTGGGCCAGTAAAGATCACTATTAATTTGAACGTTTCTCCCATACTCATTTAATGTAATAGTGATGCATTTGGATTTAAATATATCCTTTTATGTTGTGGGGGGTTTTGCCTCATTTGTTCTTTAGGTGATAATTTTTTTTAAAGTTTCTGTCAATTACTTATTTACAATCCAGATTTTCTTTCTTCCAGTTTGCAAGTTTAAACTCTGATTCTTAGTATTGCTTAAGCTAAAAATTACACTTATTTAACGTAATAGAACACAGTTTTAAATACTTTACCTTTCTCCTGGACAATATTGAGAGACTTAGAACGTTAATCAGTTTTTCCCATCTCAATATATGTGTGTGTGTGTGTGTGTGTGTGTGTATATATATATATATAATTGAGGCTATACTATACATGGTAATTCCATCACTGTAACTTCACAATGGAATATTATTCATGTTTTATACAGATAATGAGCATTTTTTTTAATCTACAGATAGACCTCTCTCTTGGATCCTCATTTCTCCTGTCAATGAAGATCTTTCACCTGGGATCACCTTCCATCGTCCTTAAATAGAATATCCTTAGATAAGAATTTCATTTTATGCAGGTTAATTTTACATTAAACTTCTCATTTTTGACTTGAAGTAGTTTTGTTTTGTACTATTTCTCTAAAGCCACTATTGCTGTGTATAGAAAGTTAATAGTTACTTTTCTAGTAGTTTGAACAGGTCCCTTCACTATGTCCCTGAACCACAACTGTAGTTGGGACTGAGTGGTGACAAATAGCTTATCACTTTGTTGATAGCTTCCAGGTCTGAGGTTAGGTTAGGAACAAAAATTCTGACATTGAGATAGAGGCAATGATTGGATGGCATTTGGGATTGTCACATAAAAGGGGGTGAGAGTGTTGAGAGTGTAGGAGAAATAGTGTAATAGGTTTCTGGGGACCAAATTGATGTTTTGTGCTAGAAACTGGCTAAGTGCTCAGCAATTTCTCTTTCTCTTCCCTCGCACCTAGCTTCCCTTACACTTAATTTGGCGCTCACTTGTGTGCTACACGTGATGGGCTGATGAAGTCTGCATGAGGACAGTACCTGGTGACTCAGAGTCACTGGACATCAGGTTGTCCCATCTCATGGTCAGACATTTGCACTTGGCTGTGACTGCCCCGAGGGCCAAAGGGGAGGCAGGAGGCAGGTGACAGTCCTGAGAATTAGGGATGAACAGTGACTTTCAACTGCTGTCACGTACTTGAAATCATGTCACCTGCACTTCCACTTTGGCCTAAGGGCAGTTAGACATGTTCTCAAGTGTTGAGTCACGTGGCCCATAAGAATTTGGCCATCAGGCAATAGGCTTACCTGTAGTTGGGAACCCCCCCAGTGATTTATTTTTTAAAATAAAATTTTAAAAAGGAGCCAAATAATTCAAGTTAGATTTTGGCCATGTTGAGTCGGGTGTTCCGCAGACCGCTGAGTGGAGGTTACGAATGGGTGGAACTAGATCCACAGTTATCATGTGCTGGGGAAGCAGTCAGCTTATAAGCATGCAAAACGTGGCATCTGCTGTGCGGATGGGTGTGGACTTCTGGGTTAGATTTAGAAGAGGAGGAATCTTCTGGTCATGTTGGCAGTGCCAACACAAGGAAAGAAAGGGGAGGGTGGGCCCTGAGGACTGGTTAGCTTGCCTGGGCAAATGGGTGAGGATGGTGGGTCACAAGGACAGGTGAGAGAAAATAGCAGCCATGAGGGGTGCTTGTGGGGAAGACCAGGGTCTGACAGGTAGCTGAATTTTCTAAGGGGGGTGGATTTGAGATGGATGCTGAGGCTTAGCAGGAATGGAGGTAACATTACAATAAGGCCTGGGGTGGTGCTTATTCACCCTTCTATGGACATACTGGGCTTTTGACCTGGTGACCTTTGGTGATGAAGGGACAGAATGACAAACAAGAAAGAGGATCGAGGGTATCAGACATATGTGTGTAGTTATGACTGACGTTGAAGCCAGGAGCAGGGCTGTGCGGGAGACCTTCAAAACAGCATCAGGTGCTGCCCTTGCCATTGGGAGCCATCAAAGGTGTTTTGGGTTCAGTTATGTTCCCCACAAAAGGTATGTTGAAGTGCTAACACGCCACACTTCATGATGTGACCTTATTTGGACATAGGCTCTTTACAGAGGTAATCAAGTGAAAATGAGGTCATTAGAGTGGGCCTTAATGCAGTATGAGTGCATTATAAAACGGGGAAGTCTGGACACAGAGACAGACACACACAGGGAGGATGATGTGAACACACTCATGTGGCTGGAGTGATGCTTCTACAAGCCAGGGAACACCGGGGACTGCCAGCAAAGGCCAGAAGCCAGGCGAGGCAAAGAGGGATTCTCCCCCAGAGCCGTCAGAGGGCCTGGTCCTGCCGACAGCTCGCTTTCAGACTTCCAGCCTCTAAAACTTGAAGAGAATAAATTCCTGTTATTTTAAGGCAACAGTTTGTGGTACTTTGTTACAGCTGCTCTAGGAAACTAATACAGAAAGTCTTGGGCAAGATGAGATCCTGTTTGCGTTTGCCAAACACTCGGAATGCTGTGTGCAGAGTGACTTGTGGGGAGTCTGTGGAGATGGCTATGGGGAGGCCGGGGTTGGGTAGCAGTGGTGATGGGAACTCATGGGTGGGGAGTTGGGAGGGAAGCGCAGTCTAAAGAGAGAGCAGCACGTGGGGAGGAGGTGGGGACTGTTGGCTCCAGGGCCCTGGTATTGGGGGTCAAGGAAGAAGACTGAGCCCACATTCGTTTGTATCTGGGAGGTGTGATCGTGGTGACACCAGGAGATGGCATTGGGCCCTGTGTATTAATGGTGTCTTTTTATTTCCTGTATTTATGATGCTTTGACATCTCGGGGCCTTGCTGATCCTGGAGAGACTGCCCCTCCCAGGGCTAGCTAATTCCTAGAGACAGTAAACAGCTTACCTGTGAGCAAGTCTTTGATGTGCAAACCAACCAGTCTGAGTCCATACCCCACCCACAGCCTTTAATCAGGCTCCTGCAGTCGGACACTATCCCCCTGCCCTAAGTCATCCCAGGGCCAGGTTCTGGACAACTGGGGACCACCCTATAGCCCAGAGCTTGCGGCAGTTATTCAAACTATCCCGTCCTAAACCTGCTCAGCTTGCCTACCCTGTTTTGCCCATTCCTTCCTGTAAGAACCACAGTAAAGTCTCTGGCCCCTGCTTTCCTGTCGCTCCCTCTGCCTCCTGACTGACCCTGGCACTTTCCTGGTGACCCTGCATGGATGCCATGCACCCTCCTCTTGGGAACTGTAAGTAATGAACTCTTCTTTCAAAGGCAGTTGTCTCGGTGTCTGTCGTCTTACGACACCTGATTAAAACAAATCCCAGGTGCATTTTAAAGTACCCTGCATACCAGGCCTGAGCTGAGTTGGTGCCTCTCAGCCTGCCTGTCTGTTGTTGCTGTGGGTTGACACAGTGATCAAGGGGTATGAGCTGAGAGTGAGCCCCAGTGGCACCAGAGTCTGGTATCTCCTCGGAATTGGGGAGTTGGGGAAGAGGGTGAGCATGGGATGGATGGATGGCAGGATGGACAGGGGCCCTGTGGAGAGAAGCTGACCATGGAATCAGCTGTCCCTATCATGGCAGGGCTGTGTGACCTTTGAGGATATCACCATTTACCTCTCCCTGGAGGCAGTGGGGGAGGCTTGCTGAGGCTCAGAGAATCCTGTACCGTGAAGTCATGCTGGGCAACTTTGCACTTACAGCCTCGCTGGGTAAGGCCTCCACATCTACCAGATGACCTGAGTTGGTTTCTGCCTGCCCTTCTTCCCCAGAGGCAGCTCTGTCCTTCCCACAGCAGAGCATGAGCACTTCTTCCTTCCCCACTTTCCTGGCATGTAAGCTGTGGGTTCCAGGACTGAGCTGTTTGCACTACTCTGAGCTATATGCCCCAACAACTGCCGCCCCGAAGCCTTGCGGGTAAGGGGCCCAGAGTCAGGAGTCTAGACCTCAGCCCCATGGATCCCATCTGGCTTGGCCACTCCTTGCTCAGATGGTCATCCAGTTCCAGAATGGTTCTGTGATTCAGGGTCTGTCCCCTTTTTAGCTGACATTTCCTGGGGTCGGTCTGTGTCGGGAGTTACAGGCACTGACATGGTCACTACTTGGCTGGGACCGCCATTTGAGTTCTTTCCTGTAGTCTGTGGTGGAGTAGTTCACTGGGCAATGTCTTTCCCTTAGGACTTGCATCTTCTAGGTCCCCAACTAGAGATGCGGGAAGAGAGCCCTGTGTGCCTTAACAGAGCAGCCGTTACTATAGGCATGGCAAGAGGCACTCAGAGAGTGTCTGGCCTGGTAAATGGGAGCTGGGGGAGGGCATGACATCGGGCCTAAGGTCAGAGTATACCAGCAACTTGTCCCCTGTTCACTATTGTTTGGGTTCCAAGGCTAATGGCCATACATCATCCCTTCCACATCATCCCTTCCCCATTCTTGAAACTTTACCACTTGTCACTTCTACTCTGACATTAGGTCCCTGGCAGTCCATCCCCTCTGATCTCCATGTCTCACCCTTTCCACTGCGCATTCTGCAGTGTTCTCCAACACTGGCCTACAATTAATGTGTTGTGAGGTGTATACATTTCTTTTTATTTTTTTATTGAGGTATAATTAACATATATCATTATAACTAGTTTCAGGTGTACAACATAATGATTCAAAATTTGTATGTATTGCAAAGTGATCACCACAATAAGCCTAGGTAACATCCATCACCATATATAGTTACAAAAATATTTTTTCTTGTGATGAGAGATTTTAAGATCTACTCTCTTAGCAACTTTCAAATATGTATTACAGTATTGTTAACTATAGTCAGCATGCTGTACCTTCCATCCCTGTGACTTATTTATAACTGGAAGTTTGTACCTTTGACCCCCTTCACCCATTTTCCCCATCCCACCCCCCTTCCTTTGGCAACCACCAGTCTGTTCTCTGTATCTGTGAGCTTGGTTTTTTGGGTTTTGTTGTTTTCGGATTCTACATATAAGTGAGATCATGCAGTATTTGACTTTCTCTGTCTTACTTCACTTAGCATAATGCCCTCAAGGTCCATCTATGTTGCTGCAAATGGCAAAATTTCATTCTTTTTTATGGATGAATAATATTTCATTGTATATGTATATACACCACAATTTCTTTATCCATTCATCCATCGATGGACACTAGGTTGTTTCCATATCTTGGCTGTTGTAAATAATGCTGCAATGAACATGAGATGCATATATCTTTTTGAGTCAGTGTTTTCATTTTCTTCGGACAAATACCTGGAAGTGGAATTGTTGGATCCTATGGTAGTTCTATTTTTAATTTTTTGAAGAACCTTCATGCTATTTTCCATGGTGGCTGCACAAATTTACATTCCCACCAATAGTGTACAAGTGTTCCCTTTTGTCTACATCCTCGCCAACACTTGTTGTTTCTTGTCTTTTTGATAATAGCTATTCTAACAGGTGTGAGGTGATATCTCATGCTGGTTTTGATTTGCATTGCCCTGATGATTAGCGATGTTGAGCACATTTTCGTGTGCCCGTCCGCCATCTCTGTGTCTTCTTTGGAAAAATGTCTATTCAGAT